GGGGAGGGGATCGGCAACAGGTCCGGAGCGGCGGGTCGTTTCGGCGGGGCTTCCCCCCCCTCGCCGCGGAGGCGCGTATCCGTGCACGGCCCTGCCGAGCCACTGCGCGCCGCCGGTCGCCGCGGACCGGGAGAGGGGGACGCACAGCAAACAGCAAGTTTTGAGTCTCCGCTTTCGCAGTTCTGGTTCCTCCCGCTGGTCCCCGAGGGGCCCCGCCGGGGCGGTCTGTGAGGAGAGCGGCCGCCGTAAGGGGTGCACCCGGCGCGTGTCCCCGCGAGCGCGTGAGCTGCGGGCACGCGGCAAACAATCCCCAGGACGGCCGGTTAGCTCAGTTGGTTAGAGCGTGGTGCTAATAACGCCAAGGTCGCGGGTTCGATCCCCGTACGGGCCACTTCGTTTTCTTCCTCGGAAGTTTTTAGTGAATGTTCTGGTTTTCTCCTTCTTTTTGAGGAGGAAGTGTCACACGGAAACGAACACGGTAGCCCAAGGGGAAGCTTGACTTCGGTGAGCGGAGGGCAGCGAGCGTGAGCCGGCCCGGCCAGGCACCTCTCACCTCGACCCGGGTGCCAAGGCAGCCACCACCCAAATGCCGGTAACCCGGCAGAGGTGATGTCACACCACGTCCTGCGGGAAGCCCACTGCCTACCACCGCACTCCTCGTTAGTATAGTGGTAAGTATCCCCGCCTGTCACGCGGGAGACCGGGGTTCGATTCCCCGACGGGGAGGATCCCTTTTCCTCAACCAGCCCGCGGGGCGTGGGGGGACAGGACCCCACCCCCCACCTCGCTTTTCCCCACCGGGTCCTCTACGACCCGGGGGAAAGGGACAATGAGTCCGGGGCTGGGAGCAGTGTGAAGTGCTATGGGGAGGAGCCCGGGGCAACACCCAACAGCTTCCTGATCTGTCCCTGACCTTCCTGGCAAAGGAGTTTGCTATCTTGTCTTGATCACAGCTAAGATGCGCAGTGCTGGAAGATTTTCAAAATGGACAGCCAGCCTTCCGCTCTCATCAGAGATGACTGGGACCCCAACCCAGAATCTCCCAGTTACCGATGAGTCAAGTCATGCTACCGCAGCACATTTTAAGACACTTTCCCCTTCTCAAGTCAACATAGATAGCCTCAAAAACCACATAGTTAAGTACCACCTTTTTCACAACTTTGTGAAAGCAGACTTTAAGGTTTAAAATCATATCAAAAATTCCCTTTATTCTTTAAAAAAATATTTCTAAAACATCCCAACATTTTCTAGGAGTAAGCAGTGCTATTTAGGCACAGGTAATGCTTTCATTCCACTGGGAGAACACTTCACAGTAGTCTACCATTTTGCAGTCAAACAAATCATTTGAGGAAGTTCTTAAGCATGCACAGTAGTCCTGTGAGGGTATCACCAGTCCTTCACCAGGCAACATCAACAGGGGATGATAACATTAGCTGATCGAGCTTAAAGAATGAGTTCACGTATTTGCAAGTTACAACAAGTCTACAGCATTATTAAGGCACCAGGTACACGTATAAATAGCTATACTGAAACGCCATGCCACAGCAGTTGAATGAGGTGGTTTGCAGGCGTTCCTGTTCTTTCATAATGGCTCAGTGCAAGCAATCCATCTTGTTCACGATCCGTGTCAGTGCACCCAGTCTTTGGGATTGCGCAGAACCTCCAAGATTTCTGCTTCTTTCGAGCTCTCTGGAGGCGTGTGCATGTACTCCCACCTGCAGGGAGGGGGGAAACTCACTCAGACTGCCCAGCTGGCTGCCACCTCACCCACACCAGGCTGTGTTGGGACTTGAGTTGCCTTTTCTGAGGATGCAAAGCTACACACACAGTTGATACTGTCGCATCAAGTAGGCAGATATGGCTACGAATCATTAAGTTCAGTAAAAACAAATAACACTGGAAGGGACAGCAGAAATGTTAGCTTGATCTTCTTCCCAGCTTCTGGAAAGGCTGGAAGAACAAAGAAAGAGCAATGCCCCCTACCCCACAATCCATGCAGGTTTATTTGCAAAGATCTTTTAGCAGTCTCTTGTGACACACTAGTGTCACGAGGAAGATGAGCCACAAAAGAACCCAGACAAAAAGAGAGGGAGGACACAAGTCCTAAGGGAAATCACCAGCTTCAAATTTTATCATTTGATCCTGATGCAATATTTTCAGCTGCCCAGAGCAAATTTTTCCAGAAGCTGGACTGGAAGCACTACAAGTCCTTGCTGAATCTGGGTTTTAAAAACAAAGTTGAGGAGAAACCACTTTTTATTGGAAAGGCAATTAAGAGGCATGACAGAAGAAGAAAAGTGTCCGCAGTCACAAAGGGATAGGTACAAGCTTTTTCCATTTTTTTCTCCTAGAAAGGACCCATTCGTGCTGTTAAGTGAGCTATTTATGTTGATGAAAACAAGCAAAACCAGATCATCCCAGTGATGAAATCAAAAGGTAGGACTGTGCTACACCACCGGGTGAGGGACACATCTGGTGTTGGCAGTGGGAGGAAGCTATATGGTATGACCAGGACTGCCTTCATGGTTAAGGGGCAGCAGGCAAAGGTCAGTTGTCCTAACAGAGGGAGATCACTAATGGAGTCTTACAAAATTCAGGATAGGGCATGTGCTACTCAGCATATCTAAAAGCGATGTAAAAAGGGGTATGAACAGTAAACGACAGTTTGCTGATATTGCAACGTTAAGCAAGATCGGTTAAAACCTAAAAAGGCAGTTGAAAAGAGTTCATATCGAGCCAAGCAACTGAGCAATAAAACGGGAGGTGAAATTCACTGTTGACTGAGCTAAAAAGTGATGCACACAGAAAAAAGTTACATACACGTTGAGAGATGAGTTAACTTTTATTGCCCAGAAACGATCTTGGCGTCATAACAATTCTGTGAAAAGGCCAGCTCAATGCTTAGCAGCAGTCAAAGCCAGCAAACAGCATATTAGGATTATGAAAGGACTAATGAACTAAAACATCATTATGCCACTGTATGAGTCAGCAGCACACCTGCATCTTTGCTGCACATACATAGCTTATGTTGTCTGTTCCTTATCCCCAGTTCAGAAAGGGCATAGAAAACTTAAGCCTAGAGAAAAGTGGCAAATGTGATCAAAGGTATGGAACAGCTACTGTACAAAGACTAAAAAGAGGGGGACTTGTCAGCCCGGAAAACAGACAATGAAGAAACCAGAAGCCTGAACAGGAACAAGAATAAAATCTGGCTACTCACTGAAAAGTCGAATGAAGTCATCAGGTGCGAAGAGAAAGCAAAGAGGCCCTTCTTCACACACCACACAGTTAAACTGTGGAACTTCCTTACCACAGGCTTGTCAGGACTGCCATAAGCTCACATGGTTTCAAACGGCTACTAAACAAAAACCCATGGAGCGAGCAGGGGAGATCCATCAAGAGGTGCTAAGCACAAAAAATACAACTCTTTTTTTTTTTGTCAGAAAATATCTAGGCTACATTCTACATATTTTTATTACTACTGGCAACTGTGCCAGTGTAGCAGACCAGAGAAGCATCTGCATGTATTTGGCCACTTGTATCAAGCGTGAACTAACCACTTTTAAAGAGACTGGACACCAGGACAGAGCTTTGATTTAATCCTACCAAGTATTTTAATAAAAACAGTGCCTACCTGCAACTCCGCCTATCTATGTCCTTACCTTGCAGTCAGTGGCAGAGACATAAGAATGCTTTCAATTCTTGATCCTGGTGTCAGGAGGCCAAACTTTGTACCTCTGTCATAAACCAAGTTGAACTCCACGTACCTATGGGGAGCGAAGAGATGCAACACAAAAACAAGTTTATTATCAGAAGTTGCTTGTGCCTTCTTCAAGAAGGTGTCAGAATGAACCCTGGTTTGGGGCCAACTGTTCTCTAGCATCCTCGGCATAGGAATCCAAGCGTGACCTCGCCACTCCGCAAAGCCTAGGAAGTAACAGATGAGAGCAGACAAACTACTCATGGAGAGCATTCTGCATGGTGCTATACTAGCTTACTTCTCCTAGGCCTCAACCCTGCTGGCAAGCTTGACACCAAGTTTAGCTTGGTTAAGCTGGTGGTGTCAGACATAAGAGGAGCCTTAAAGGAACTGGAAATGACCACAGGAAAAACTCTACCGTGCAGTCCTCCATGCTGAAAGCCACATAAACAGCGAGGTCAGAACAAGATTTTCTGTTTCCTGGGGAGAGTTGAAAAGCAGCAGAAGTCAGACAGCTTCATAGTGCTGGCTGGGAGTTGTAAGTGCCAGAACAGACAGTCTTCTGCCCCCAGCACAGGAACAGAGCAGTGGGGTAATCTTAGTAACCAGTATTGAGGTATTAGTACTTAACAGAGGTACAGGAAGGGAGGAGCACTTATCTATGTGCAGAAATGGAGAGCTTAGCCTAGTCCAGGAACCTGCAAACAGATCCAGGGAAATAAGCAGGCCTCATGAGCCGGTCCTGGCTGCAACCTAAAGCTATTCCCCCTTATAACCTTAGCAGGATCCTGAAAGGCCAGCACTCCCAGAACAGCCTCACCAAATTAAGCACATGTGCTTATTTGAATAATTGCTGCAGGCCAGTGATCTAAACTTGAACGCTTAGGCCTTCTCTATGCCACTCACAGATTTCTTTGCAGAAAAGCAGAAACTAAAGACTCCCCAGTTCTGCACAAAGCACACGTCTCCTCATTTCTCCATATGCTTACACAATCACATTAACAGTTGTTCATGTTAATAAGCATCCTCAAAAGTCTTTTAAGTTGCTGTGCCTTTGGACCATGCCAGAAAAACAAAACCCCTCTGTATCTTTATCCCTTTACAAAGAGTTCACTGCGTCCTCATTTCAATGCCAAGATCAGAGAATAAGTATGTATGTAAGAAGCTGACAGTACTCTTGGGTACAGATATGTCATGACTTTCTGGGGTTTAGCTTCATTACTGACTAGGAAGCATGACTCTTTCACCCTTATGTTCCTCATGTCACGGGGCAGTCCTGTATCCCGCATCACTGGCCTGCAGGAGAAGGTGGGATTCAGGACACCACGCACCCCTTTGCCTGTTACAAAGCAGCAGCTTCTGTTGGTTTTTGAAGGAGTTGCAGAGAGACTGTGGCATTTTGTATGGGTTGCTTGTGCTGCAACAGGGGAGAGCAAGGGATACAGACGAGGGTGTGCTAGTACCTTTTTTGCACCCTCCCCGGCAATCTGGCATTGGATTTCAAAAATAGTTCTGTATACAAAGATGTTGAAATTCTCTGGCGAGCTTTAGAGCACTTATGCAAACTTAGCCCACACCACAACAAGACATAAACCCTGCAACCATGAAGAATTAGCTTTTTTTTTTTCTCGCCAGCGTAATCCACTTTCCATGTATTCTTTTGCTCCTTCAGTACTCACCGTCCTCTCCGAAGCTGCTGCCAGAGCTTTTCCTCTGGTGTGAAGGAGTCACAGCAGTGCCTTTTCACAATGGGAATGTAACAAGGCACAACAGCTTTGGCGCAACTCTTCACAAACTGGAATACTTCCTCCTTGGAGGGAGAGTCCACGTCGTCAAAGAATATGCCTCCAATCCCTCTTCGCTCACCACGGTGCTTGATATAGAAGTAATCATCACACCTAGAAGAGGTAGCGGACAATTATTAATATGGTCCACAACAGTCAAAGAAACGAACGGAACTCCCAACAGTTACATGGCACAGGATGGCGCTAGCGAAGTACTGATGAAAAGTCAGCGTCTGCAGTGCTGGGTACGCACTGTTTCACTGACTGCTGAGAGCCAGGATGGTACAGCACCGTCCGGAGAGCACTCCTGCGTTGGCTTACAGTAAAAGTTCTGATTAAACGGTCTCTGCAAAGCTATGTATCACCGCACACATAACACTCAAACACCGTGGCAGATGCTTCCACGTGGAGTGATCCAATCCATATCCTCTACTTACAAGGAGAAGGGACACCTAATTTCAAAACTTCACCCTAAGAGCTTTTTCTAGATTTCATTCCCAGAATTACACATAGATCCAAATTATTTGTGCAGCTTTCAGATGAACTCAAAATAAACTCGGAAGACAATTTCTTTATTCTTTTTGGCATTCCAGTGAAAGAACTGCTTTTCTGCATCAAAACTAAGAGAATCTATAAACTCAAGACCAGATAAGCAAGCCAGGATCACTTAAGGAAAAAATCAAAAGTGAGTCAGCCTTCCCTGGAAAAAGGCTTTTTAATAGTAAAACTTGGAAGACGGAGTCATTCTAGCAGTGGCTTTTCATGGCTCATGTTCAAGTTTATGAAGGAATAAGCACAGCTTATCCTACAACAGGGAGGCAATTAATCTCTTTTGCATTGACTGGGAGTATGTAGGTGTGCAATTACTATAAATTAGCTGATTCATTGTATCCACACCCTATCTCGTGTATAGTTGCTCGCTTGGGCAGCCGTGCTCTGCAAGTCTTCACATGGGGGAGAAATGGAAGGGAAGTAAGAAGCAGAAACCATCAAGAGCAAGGAAACCCTGCCTTCCTTTAGGACTAGTTTTCCATGCACGTATCCACCCACAGTTGCTGTTCTCAAACAATATAAATGGCATCGCCACAGCGAGAGAGACGTGGAGATATAACAGATAACCTATGCTATTTTTTTATTCACTGGGATGATCAGCTTTTTTTTTTTTTAATAGCAGCAGGAAGAGTTTCAAACAATATAAATGGCATCCCAAAACGAGAGAAAACGGGAAAAAAAAAAAAAAAACCTATCCTTTTTTTTTTTTACCGGGGTGAATAGCCTTTTTTTTTTTTTAATAGCAGCAGGAAGAGTTAGGAAAAAAGGGTGAGTCAGAAATGCAAAAAGAGAGCAAGCTGACAAAAGTCTTAAAGCTAGATCAGAAAGACAGCATGGTAAACATAAAAAGAGCTTTTGTGTTTCAGAAAGGTGGGAAAAGAGGAATACTAATTAGTAGAAGCTCAGAGGAGATTCACACTGGTCCGGCAGTGAGAACCGCATGCCCCTACACAGCTGCTGCTTACAGCAAACACTCATGCTGGGACTGAGAAAACTGCCTTTGTCCATGATGTACAATTAGTCCTCCCCTGAGCTGCCCTCAGGCTAAGAACAGGCCTCCTTCTCTCCGACCCCCTGCAGCTGCCATCACTAGCCTACCTACGCTGCAAACAACCTGGCCGTTAAGGCAGACACTCTGAACTACCATGCCAAAATTCCTCAGAGAACAAGACTATAGTCTTAAGGTTATAAGGTGTGCTTCTCTACTAAGGGGTTCACAACCAAGCTACAACACCCACTTTATCTCCTGTCCTCAGACAAGACCTGGTAGCTGACAAAAGGGTAACCCCTCCTTCCTGGACACCACAGCTTGTAGCAGATAGGATTATCAGACACGGAGCAGCAAGCCCCACTGAGCAGTGAAGGATCCCATCACCTGTATCTCTCAGCTCAAGAACATTCAATATTTGCATCTTTAGAGAACACGCTGTTGAACTCTCAGTGAATGTGTCACTGGAAAAGAAGTACAGCTCCATAAAAACTATTAAGCTTCTACATTAAGGACAAGCTCCTTTACCTACCTGGCAAAAAAAAACCCCAACCAAAAAACAACAACAACAAAAAAAAAACAGGTAATGAAGGTCAGACTGAAGGCAGAAAAACTGGAATGGGATTTTCAGAACTGCAGCGCTGGCCCAAGAGCTCACATTAAAGTCATGCACATTTACCACAGTAAGCAGAATCAGTGCGAGTCCATGGGGCAAAAATCTTGTCCTAGTTTAACACCAGAGGCGAAAAGGAATTTTTGAGTTGCCTAGCGAAGTCTGTGGCTTACAAAACCTTGTAGAGTCAGCTTGGTTTTTATTCAGGCTATAGACTCATGATCCTAGCTGTCAGCCCTCTGATCTGAAAAACTCAGGCCTCTGTCAATAAGAGATTGTTTCAGACTACATTTTGTCCCAGTGCACATTTGCTGATTTTCATCTGATAGTTTTCAAAAGGCAGCAGTACTGTTCCTAGGGTACACTTAACTGGCAATATCCAGTGCTCCCACAGAAGGAACCCAAGCGCATCTCTCCCCACATACCACTTCTTGTACTTGGGATAAAGCTTCAGATCATGCTTGTCACAGGCTTCTTTCAGAGTCTTGTGAAAATGAACGGCGTCCTCTTCATTCAGGTAAGTTGGAGTGAGGTCAGTCCCACCACCGAACCACCACTGTTTAGTTCCTAGAGGAGAGAGGCAAGGAGCAACGTTTTTCTTTCAAACTTCCAAACAGAAATAGATTGCTAGTGATTCACCAAGAACTAACCACTACTTCTACAATACAAAACAAAATCATTATTCAGTGGTGCTCCTAAACATCAATCGTGAAGAATTTGTGTTCGAGGTAGCGCGATGACCAGTGACTTCAGGAAAACACAAAACAAATTCCAAAGCAGTGAAAACCATTTGTTCAGTATTTTGGACCGCTGACCCTGGCTACAGGAGATCAATTTCACAAGATGGGCTGGCAACCCCTATTCAAGAATCCAGAAACGTTTTGCTGCATGCCAAAGAAAGGAAACATCCTTATTAAATCCAAGGAGGTAATTGCCTAGAAATGATCCATAATGCTCTAGCAAAATAACTGAAAGGAAACTCTCTTTGAGCTTCTGACAGTCCGTACGCTGTCACAAGGTACGGCCGGGCTCTCGGTGTTAGACCACCTAGCCTAGAGCCCTGCTTCTCACAGCGGCAAGTTGCAGAAACTCGGGGAAAAAAAAGGCATGGAGCGATGTTTCGGACAGTATGTCCTCCCAGCTTCTGAGACAAAGGTACACCCTGACCAGAATGCTCACCAGTCCTTCACAGACCTTTCTTCTACTAAATTCTACACTTGTTTCTTTGAGTATGTTTTACACTTATTTATAACCTCCTACACTTCAACTTAAGTCTGAAACCCGTGGCGTACGCTGCAAAAAGTAAACTGCAAACACCTGTACTGTACCAGACGCACGCACCACACTCTTTACAAATGGACAAATGAAGGCCCAGAGGTTAAGAGATCCAGTGCTACACAACAGACTCGTGGCACAGCTGGGAACAAAACTGGGCCGGTTCTTAAACTCTTCCCCCCGCCGTGCGCTCACGCTGCCTTCATGCAGAGTCATACATTTCATACGTGCTTCATTAGATTAAAATTCTTACCGTCGGCTTCTTCAATTTCGAAATATCTGTAGTTGAAGTGCATGGTCGGAACATGAGGGTTCTTTGGATGGATAACAGAGCTGACACCCATGGCACAAAAAGGCAGCTTCCCTAGACAAAAAGATGCACAGGCAAAAAACTTCAGTTTTTCAAATAACTTCATTTATTACCATTTAAGGAACATCACTATTTTTCCTTAGGTTCCAAGCTACTGTTCCAGGACAATTTCTCATGTTGGGTCACCATAATTATTAACCAGTGTGCAATTTACTTCTCCTCCACCCATGTGGGTGCACCTAACTAAATGCTTTTTTTGGTATTTGTCCTAAAATGCAACGATATGTCAGAGCACCCATCAGATGAAGACTGCCTAAAACATAAGGCACTGCGAAGGCTTCCCGCCACCCCCAGACCTCCGAATGACCCTTTGCTCCACGAACGGGGGTGGAATCCTCCGTCGCCTTCAGGTCTTTTTGGTTTCCTCCCTCCACCTCCTTGGTACGCAACTCCTGCGCTGTTTCACCATTGAGCTACAGCGTCATTACTGAGAAACAACCCGTGCCTACAGTGCATTGCTTAAAGCAGTGAGACACAGGGAGAGCCACCCGGATACCTCGGTTTTTTAGGGATGTGGAAGTCCACCTGCCAGGCTTACCGGCTGGAAACCACCATGACACAAATGAAATCTTCCCTGAGCGCTGATCGGTCCGGCCTTCCTCGCGTTCTGCTCAAAGGCCAGATTCGGCTGCCCCAGTACCCGCAGGGGTGAGCGCGCCCCGGTCCCCCACCCCACCTCCCCGCCGGACTCCTCACCGTCCTTGGCCTTCAGGGACTTGCCCCTGCTCCGCATCTGCCGCGCTGCCTCCTCGGACAGGAGCCCGGAGACGACGGACACGTTCACTCCCGCCTTCTCGAAGACCTCGCCGTCCTGCAGCACGCAGCTGATGCCGCCTCCGCCTGCCAACGCCAGGGTCACCCCGCGCCGGGGCCGCCGCCGCCGCCCCCCGGGCTGACCGGGCCCGGGCTGACCGAGCCCCGCTGCCCCCCGCCGTTCCCCCGTACCTTCCTTCCTCTCCCCGGTGTCGACGGC